AATTAGTTGTTTTTAATCTTTTTCTCCAAAAACCTCAGTGACAAGTATCTTTCTTATATCCTGCCCCCCGCCCCTGCACCCACCAAACTTGGATCATCATCATAGTGTGGAAAAACTAAATTGTTCACTATTTTTTTCTAGATAACTTGGCAATGCTAAAGGTAATTTCTGTCTTATGGAACACCTTAATTAGAATTATTCATATTTCTGTGCTGTGACGTGGGGTCACCATGAGTTGGAATCGACTTGGAGGCAAATGGTGTTTTTGTTGTTGTATTTATTAGAGGGTCTTTCAACCATTGTGGGAGGGACGCTGTGCCACACAACCTGTTTTACAGACATACAAGGAGGCCACAAGGTTAAGTTCACAGCCAGTTGGAGGAAAAAAAACAAAGGCAATGATGAGGCTGTGTTATGCGGGTGAATTCCGCCCTCACCCGCAAACACATGTTGAAGTCCTAACCCTGGTACCTGTAAACACGGCCTTGTGTGGAAACAGGGTCTTTGAAGACGTTATCCATTAACATGAGGTCACACTGAAGTAGGGTGGGTCCTGATCCCATCTGAGTGGTGTCCTTACAAAAAGAGAAGACACAAGGAGACAGAGGAAGGACAGATACGGTATAAGGCTGGATCATTTAGTATTATAGCCTAAAATTCTCAGCAGGCAGGAATAGCTAGCTACAGAGGAGACAAAGCCAGCCTGAGCAGTTGTGAGCAAACTTAACTGCTTGCCTATCGATCTTTCTGTGGATCTTTCTCCACCTTGGCAACTCTGCAGGCAAGAACTGATAGACTTGGTGGGAGGTGGACTCCATTTTTTACAACCAGTCTGTCTTAGTTTCCTAGGGCTATAATAACAAAGAACCATGGACTGGGTGGTTTAAAGCAACAGAAATTTATTGTGTCTCAGTTCTGGAGGCCAGAAGTCCAAAATCAAGGTGTCGTCAGGATTGTGCTCTCTCTGAAAGCTCTGAGGGAGAATTCTTCCTTATTTCTTCCAGTTTCTAGTGCTTTCTGGCGATTCTTGGTGTTCCTTAGCTTGTAGATGCATCTTCACGTGGCCATCCTGACAAACAGTTGGAGGTTCAAGTCCACCCAGAGGTGCCTTGGAAAAAAGGCCTGGTGATCTATTTCTGAGAAATCTGTCACTGAAAACCCTGTGGAACATAGCTCTACTCTGACTCACGTGGGGTCACCGTGAGTTGGAATTGACGGCAACGAGGTAATATCTCAGGCCTACATCAATATAATCTCCAACTGTCTCTTAACCTGCTCTTTCTTAGAACCTGGCTGAGAGAAGTGAGAATGATTCTCATTTATATGAATAAAGTCATTTCTACTTACTACCATATCACAACAAAATTTAGAGGAAAATGCTGGGAAGGTCTGACTTAAACAAAGGCCATGCACACACAAGACCGTTACTGGGGCAGACTCTGGGGTTCCCTTAGAGATCCTGGAGGTCACCGTCTCAGCAGCTTGGAGAGAGGCCCCTGTGAGTCCTAGCAAGTTCAGACCATGCAGATCAAGAGCAACAAACAACACCTTGAGTGTGAGGCCCTCCGAGTTGCAAGGCTTGATTTGCACTCAAGCTGCTCCTCATCTGGCACAGAGCAGCAGGATTGCATTCATCTAAGGATGGGGAGAACAGTTGGCTAATAATAAATTCAACAGCTAAGTGTATGATGTTCTAGCATGAATCCCTAGTCTGTTTTAGTCTGGTAGCTCTGCTGAAACCCTGTACACGGGCTACCTCACTTAATCCTGTGTGGAAGGGAAAATTGTTATCTCCATTTTTAGGGACAATTTTACTTCTTTCTGATCTGGATACCTCTTGGTTCTTTTCTTACCTTATTGCTCTGGCTAGGACTTCCAATACAATATCCAATAGAAGTGGTGAGAGTGAGCACACTTGTCTTGTGTGCAGTTTCAAGGGGGAAAATTCTAAATCTTCTTCCATTAAGTATAATGTTGGCTGTTGGTTTTTCATCTATGCCCTGAATCATATTGAGGAGCTTCCCTTCTAATCTTCTTGAGGGTTTTCATCAAGAAAGGATGTGTTATCTCCATTCTTAAACTGAGAAACAGGTTTTGAGGGCAAGTTGCCCAAAGTCACAGAATTAGTAAGAGCCAAAGAGGTTGGTTCTGAAACCCAGAGTCTTAACCGCCCTAAGAATGTCATACCCAGGAGGTCTTCATGATCCAAAGATTCAGTTATTTGAGTCCCAGTGGTTATGGAACATAGAAATCCTCCTAATACAGAATTTTCACTGATGAGCTGAGCGCTTACGTACTTAGTCTCCACTCAAACATCTCTCCCGGTGTAGCTCCGGAATTTTTCCCCACCCAAGTTGAAAGGACTGGAAATGGTGTTGTGACGGGGTGGGAGTACAATGCAAATTAGTCGCAAAGATGCCAGATTTCAGGAAGCCAGTGACTGTGTTGTTGGAGAATGATGAGACGGAGCCCAGAGCCATTGGTGATTACGGGACACTTGGCAACTGACACTGAGGAAACTGACAAGGCTAATGATAGGACGCACGTCAACAAGAAGTGAGCTGAATATAAACAGATTAAGAGAGGATCTGGAGAAAACTGATGGTGCCCTGGTACACTTTAGCAAAACCAATCCTCTTTATAGGATGGAGCTGGGAAAATCACACACAATGTGAAGAAGGGCATATTAAGCCATCACACAATTTGTTGAAAAATTATGATCCCTCCCAAATCAACGCTTAATTTATTCTTTGTTGGCTCTACAAATTAACACAACTGGATTCATACCCTAAAATTAATTGAATGTTAGACAAATTCAAGATAGCCCCCCTTTTTTTTTTTAATTTTTCATGATAAATTCTCAAGCAAACTCTTTTCCTCCATAATTTACTCTATTACTATTTGGTTCCCATCTTAATTGAATTCACTGAAGGAGTCTTTCCTTCTAGTCCAATTACTCTCTTGCACTGGAGAACAGTCTAACAGCAGAAAAAGTTCCTCATCCATTCTTTTAAGTATTTACATTCTGCCCACACATCAGTTTAGGCCACGAGGAAGCCACCTCTCTGAATCACCACCACCTGAGTCTAGGACAGCCTTTCTATCTTTTCATTTCTCTCAAATTCAGTCCTCGTTGAAGATCTAGACAAAAACAGCCAAATGACAAGCCTTCGTGTATTTGCTTAACAGTGCCATCAAAACATCATCCGCCTGTTCTTCAATATCCCTTTTCATAAAAGTGTTAAGTTTATTTTAGAATTGTAAATTTGTTTTGTTTTTGTCAGATGTCTCAATTTACCTGTTGAGAAAATGCACAAGTAGGTGAATAAAAGTGAGTGGACCTCTTGAAGGCAAAGCAATATACTGGCAATTTGCTTTTGGGATGTGTGTGGGTGGATGTATGTTTAAATTTAGAACCAAGAACTTACACTTTTCTGAGAAATTGATATGCTTTCTCCTTTCTGATTATTGGAACCATGAAATCATCATCTCTCCCTTTGTGTATAGACTGTAAGGAAGCTCAAAAATAAATTTCTTCTTGATTTTCATGTCTGTCGATAATGTTTTGTATGCATGCCTTTTATTTTAGGCCACCAGAAATCATTTCTGAAAAGAGCATGCTTCATTTGACTTGACTTGCATTGGACAAGGACATTAAATCGTGAAGCAAGGTCATAAAGGCATTAGGAATGCCACAGCTCCCTAAGGAATTGTATGGAGTAGACAGACTTTGATGGGGGGGGGGGGGCAAATACAGCCATGACAGAGCTGTCAGGAAAGGGACAGAAAGGCTTCTGAACACGGTGTTCTGAAGGAGTGTTAATCCCCTAAGGGTCCCAAGGCTCAGATTCCTCTCAACATCTGCCTTACTCTGCCAATAAAACCTCCAGCTTGGAGAAACATGATAAGCAGTTGGAGGTGTGGGGGGGGTGTTGCTTTCAGGGATCCTTGGGAGGCACCAGAAATCATCCTGCTAAAGGGGTAGCACTGGTCCCTCCACTCACTCTACCTTCACCTGGCCACTCACATCAGGAGCAGTAACTAAGGGTAAGGGTTTGAAGCCCAGGGCCACACCTTATCAGAGCCTTGGGCAAGCTCTCTCTGAACTTGAACCTCCTGGCTGTAAAAAGGGGATTAATAGTACCAATATAGTGGATTCCGACTCATGGCACCCCCATGTGTCAGAGTAGAACTGTGCTCCATAGGGTTTTCAAGGGCTGATTTCTGGGGAAGTAGACCGCCAGGCCTTCCTTCTGAAGTGCCTCTGAGTGGACTCGAAAGTCCAATCATTTGGTTAACAGCCATCTGCTACTTAATGCGGTTGTTAAGATTAGATGAATTAATATACATAGCGCACTTAGAACATTGCCCGGCACGTAACAGTGCCAAATAATCATCAGTTATTATTATTATTTCCACCGCGATGGACGTAGAAGGATACCCCAAATGGGCTTTTGAGGCAGAGGACCCCGGCACGATCTGGAAAAACTAAAAGGGTCTTTGTTACTGCGGGGCAGAGGGCCCTCTGGGCTATCAGGAAGGTCGTGGAAAAGCCTTCCCAAAGGGCCTGAGCACCCGGCCGAGGGCCCCGCGATCCGACTTCCGAGGGTCTCGAGACCAGAGCGGGGCAGTGCCCCATCGGCTGGAGCCTGAGTATGCCCTTTTGAGAAACCGAAGACTCCTTCACTGACGGCCACGGGCTAAGGGGCCGAGGCCCGTGACTTGGGGCCCGCGGAGCCCTTCCCTGATGCCCCGAGACCCTGTTCCAAGGCGCCCAGCCGAGAACTTCAAAAGAGAAAGAAACCCACACCGCTGACTAGCACCGACTGCCCACGACCCGGGGACCGGAAGCCACATCCGCACTTCCGGCGGAGGCGATGGGATGGGATGGACTGGCCAGCGAATGGGCCTGGTGGCGGGGGCTGAGAGCGGGCCTGGGGCGGGGCCGGTGAGTGGGCGGGGCCGCAGCACGCAGGGGCGGGCCCGCGTCTCGCACGCTGAGCCACTTCCGGGCGCGGAGCGGGCGCGGGTGAGCGTGGGTAGAGCCGCGGGTGGAGGGGCGGGCGCTGTTAAGGGGTCTGGGGAGGTTGGGGGTGTCCCGCGGCCCCCCATCTTGTCGTGGCCCGGCGCGAGACCCCCCTTCCCGGTCTTCCAGCCCCGAGTCTGAGTCCCCAGCCCCGTTTCTCGCCGCCCCTGGACCCCCATCCCTGTATCACTTATTTCTGGATCCCCGCCCTGGATCCCTATCCCTGCGCCTCGTTCTTCACACCAGTCTCCCCCTGCCCTGCATCTTTTTGTCTTTCTCTCTCTGTGCCTAGCTCTTGGGTCTTTCCGCCTGCCCCTTCATTCCTCTGCTTATCGCCCTTGAATATGGGTGTCGATAATTCCATTTGGGACCAATGATGTCCCCAGAAGCAGATAAAGTGAGAATTCAGTCTGCAGACTAGCAGAAAAGCGGGGGTTCTGGCCCCGGCTGTTTAGCACCTGGGGTGCTTTGCTTGCAAGCACGTAGCAAGGATACGAGGGAAAGCCCCCCTCCCGTTAGATTTAAATGAGTGCCATTGGGATCAGCGGGAAGTCATAAAAGTAATTACATACCAGCGGGAGGGTGGAAGTGGGCGGGAAACCCTGTGCTCTTGGAGGAAGTGAGATTCATCACCTGCCTCTAAACATGCAAGAGCTTTTTGAGATTTTCTTTGTGTGACCTGTGTACATATACTTACCGATCAACTGATCCAGAAAGTTCCATTCCAGTATTCAAAAAAAAACAACAGTTACTGTCAGGTCACCTCTGACTCCTGGCTACCCCAAGGGTATCAGAGTAGAACTGTGCTCCCTAGCGTTCTCGACAGTATTCCAAAAAAAATACAAGGTACTGGCAGGTCACCTCTGACTCTGGGCTACCCCATGTGTATCAGAGTACAACTATGCTCCCTAGCGTTCTCAACGGCTGATCTTTTGGAAATAGATCGCCAGCTTTTCTTCCAGGGCACCTGTGGATGGACTCGAACCCCCAACATTTTGGTTAGCAGCCAAGTGGGCTAATTGTTTTGCACCACCCAGGGAACTTAATATACTTATAAGATCATATACACGTACAAACATACATACGTGTTGTTGTTAAAACAGAAAATCCAAATCAGTTACCATCAAGTCGGTTCCAACTCATGGCAGCCCCGTGTGTGTCTGTAGTTTTCAATGGCTACTTTTTCAGAAATAGTTCGCCAGGCTTTTCTTCAGAGGTACCTCTGGGTGGACTCACAGAGATGTCCCATCCAGATGGTGAGAGATTTGGCCTCGGTTAGATTCAGCTGAGCAGTCAAGCATGTTAACTGTATTCCCCACCCAGGGACTCCAGGTACAGTGTATATGGGCAGGCAGCCACTTGTGTTTCTGTTTTAATGCCAAGTGATACATATTTAGGATTCTGATTCCCAAGGTATCTCGGGCCCTGTTTGGCTGACTTACTCCTTTTTGTTGTTATTCTTTTTAGCACCAACTAAAGCTGCCGTAGAAGACGCCCAGCCATGGAAGACAAACCATTGGTGGTCTCAAAACAGAGGAGAGAAGTGTTGTGTGGCATCCCCACCCAGGTGGTATGCACGGCCTTCAGCAGCCACATCCTGGTGGTGGTGACCCAGTTTGGGAAGATGGGGACCCTGGTCTCCCTGGAGCCCAGCGAAATGGCCAGTGACATCAGCAGGCCCATGCTTACCACCAAAGTCCTTCTTGGGCAGGATGAGGTAAAACCTGTTGCTGTCCAGTCGATTCCGACGCATAGCAACCCTATAGGACAGAGTAGAGCTGCCCCATAGAGTTTCCAAGGAGCACCTGGTAGATTCAAACAGGTGACCTTTTAGTTAGCAGCCGTAGCACTTAACGACTATGCCACCAGGTTTCCGGATGAGGTAAAGGGGCTGGGAAAGGCCCAGGGTGGAGGGGGATCCTTTTCTGTGGCTTTCATTTCTCAATAAGATCTTGGAGCACGTGGAAGGCTAACTCACCCTACAGTGGCCATGAGTGGGCACTTCCCGGGGCCTTCCTGGGTCTGGGGGCGTCCCACCTGTCCTTGGTGAATGATGGTGCCAGCCCATTAGAATCTTACCCAGCAGGCAGGTACAAGTATTGATTCTAGAATATGTGCCTCCTGCTGGTTTGACCTTGTCATGATACACACCATTAGTGAGTGGCTGTTCATGCTCCATTCTGGAAAGATCGTCTGTGAGATATAACAAAGATTCCCTCTCCCGACTTGTTCTTCTGAATCTTGGGAGATTAGAAACAGCCAGAAGAGGCAGGGGACTCAGAAGACAGCACCAAGGAAATGAGCTTAATGATGCCTCCTTAGCAGTTTGTTTATGACTGTTGTGTTCTGAGTGTTTCGTTGAACTCTGAATCACAGTGGCATCAGATTTATCTCTTGGTGATTTAATGGAGGTGTGGGAAGCCTGTCTGGGCTCCTGAAGGATACTTACTGAAGGCATTAGGAAAAAAAGCTGGCTCCTTGCTGCTAAAGTGGTTTCCTGCTTTTCCCTCCAGCCTCTCATCCACGTCTTTGCAAAGAACCTGGTGACGTTCGTGTCTCAAGAAGCTGGGAACAGAGCAGTCCTCCTGGCCGTAGCTGTGAAGGACAGGAGCATGGAAGGCGTGAAGGCCTTGCGGGAGGTGATTCGGACGTGCCAGGTGTGGTGAAGGGGCCCACAGGGCCCGGCCAGGTGGCCCCCCTGCTGCTCACCAAGACCAAGGGGAGACGCAGCCCCCCTCACAATGGTTTGAAGACATCTCCAGCCATAACCAGAAACACTTGAAGCCAGAAACAATACTCAGGTCTCAGGCAAGCTCCACTTTGTTTGGTTACTAATATCACCCTTGGGTGGCGAAGGGAGTGGAACGTGTCTTGTGAATGGTTCTCACCGGGGTCCGAGTTGTTGTACATATTTGAGAATCGAAAGGGTGACTTATCAGGTGTGATTCACAGCCTTCCATGTACTACAGTGTCAGTCGTGGAAAGAAATTTTCTTTTTATCAAAAATAAATACGTATTTCAAAATACTTCACCATCTTTCTTAACAATACTGAGATAGCTCAGCCACACAGCGTAAGTTCAGTTTCGTGTACCTCAGGTGGGCAGAAAGCCTGTTTGGCCAAGAGCGAGGATTCACACGGGCAAGATGAGTCCCAGGAGCCAGTTTTATGCACGCACAGTGGTGTCTTGCTCCTCTTCCTGCAATTCTTCTAGGATGCTTGGGAAGCTGGCAGCACTTAACTCTCACTCGACAGACATTTCTAATGGTGTGCCAGTTACGGTGCTGGGGCTGGGATGCAGACCCCAGCCTCAGAGCCACATTCTTGCCAGATGGGAAAAGATACACATCACCGCACTGGCCTGGGGCCAGCCATGGGGAGAGGCACGGGGGGTGTCTTAGTCTCTTACTGCTGCCATAACAAAAAATATCACACGTGGGTGGCTTTAAAAAAACAGGAATTTATTGCCTCACTGTTCAGGAGGCTGGGAGTCTGAATTCAGGATGTGGCTCCAGGGGGAGGTCCTGCTTTGTCTATTTCAATTTCCAGTAGCTGCCGGTAATCCTTGGTGTTCCTGGGCTTGTAGATTCATCTGCTGTGTGTGTCTGTCTTCGTTTGGGGTATTCTCCCTGTGTGTCCCTGTGTTTATTCTTTTCTTTTTAGAACTCAGAAGTGATTAGGCTTAGGACCCACCTGTTCACCAAAAAGTCGGAGGTTCAGTTCCACCAGAGGCACTTTGGAAGAAAGCCCTGGCAATCTACTTCTGAAAAATCAGCCACTGAAAACCTGTGGAGCACAGTTCTACTCTGACACACAGGAGGTCACCGTGAGTTGGAGTCCACTGCCCAGCAACTCGTTTTTTCTACTCTGGAATGGCTTGATTAATATAACGAAAGAAACTTCCTGTTGCCAAACAGGGTCATATTCACAGGTACAGGGATTAGGACTTCCACATTCTTTTTGGGGAACACTCAGTCCATAACAGGGACTACAGCACTAACTGCCCAGGGAAGGCTCTGTAGGGAGGGGATGCCGGGGCTGAGTCTGGCATGGTGGGGGAGGGGACGTCCCAGGCAGAGGAACAGTGCCAAAGAAGCCAGGGCCCTGAGGGCAGTTGCTAAGGTCAGCCTGTACGATATCTGGGAGTGGCTGGAAGTGAAGCCCATGGTGGTGGGGGAACAGTAGGGAGGCCTTCTGTGCTGTGGTGAGGTTGGGATTTGATCCTGAGTTTGATGAGGAGTCATTGAAGGGTTTTAAGTCAGGTCAGATTTGCCCTTGAGAAATGTTCCCAGTAGGCGTGTGGGGCTCGTTGGCCAGTGCTCAGGGTGAGAAGTTGTCTTAGGTCTGACTGTGGGTGCCCATGCCTCTGACAGGTGGCCACCTGGGGCCCACCTGGAGTGTCCCTTACCCCCTGCAACCACAGCAGATTTTCCACACGAGTTAGGAGTCCTAAAACCAGGGGTGACATCTTTGTACAGTGTGACTCTCTAAATGGTCTCTTTCATGAGAAAGTAGAGGCACTTTGAGTGGAGTTAGGGGACAAGTTCTTGAAGCAGAAACCAGATAGGATCTCCAAAATAGGGAGTAAGCCCTTGTCTTAGTTATTTAGTGTTGCTGTAACAGAAATACCACAAGTGGATGGCTTTAACAAACAAGTTTATTCTCTCACAGTCTAGGAGGCTAGAAGTCTGAGTTCAGAGTACCAGCTCCAGGGGAAGGTTTTCTCTCTGTTAACTCTGGGGGAAGATCCTTGTCATCAATTTTCCCCTGGTCTAAGAGCTTCTCAGCGCAGGAACCTCGGGTCCAAAGGACACGTTCCCCTACTGGTTCTTCATTCTTGGTAGCATGAGGTCCCCATGTTTCTGTGCTCGCTTCTCTCTTTTATATCTCAGAAGAGATTGACTCACGACACAACCTAATCTTGTAGATTGAGTCCTGCCTCATTAACATAACTGCCTCTAATCCTGCCTCATTTACATCATAGAGGTAGAATTCACAACACAGAGGAAAATCACATCAGATGACAAAATGGTAGACAATCACACAATACTGGGAATCATGGTCTAGCCAAGTTGGCACACTTTTCTTTTAATTGTACTTTAGATGAAGGTTTACAGGACAAACTAGCTTCTCATTAAACAGTTAGTACACCTTGTTTTATGACATTTGTTTACAACCCCACAACATGTCGACACTCTCCCTTCTCGTCTTTGGGTTCCCTGTTACCAGCTTTCCTGTCCCCTCCTGCCTTCTGGTCCTTGCCCCTGGGCTTTTGTGCCCCTGTAGTTTTGTTTTGTTTTATGGGCCTGTATAATCTTTGGCTGAAGGGTGAACCTCAGGAGTGACTTCATTACTGAGCTAAAACGGTATCTGGGGGCCATACTCTCCGGGTTTCTCTAGTCTCTGTCAAGCCAGTAAATCTGGTCTTTTTTTGTGAGTTAGAATTTTGTTCTACATTTTTCTCCAGCTCTGTCCAGGACCCTTTATTGTGATCCCTGTCGAAGCAATCAGTGGTGGTAGCCAGGTACCATATTGTTGTACTAGACATGTTCTGTTGGAGGCCATGGTAGTAGTGGTCTGTTAGTCCTTTGGACTAATCTTTTCCTTGTATCTTGTTTTTTTCTTTGTCCCTTGCTCCTGAAGGGGTGAGACCAGTGGAGTATCTTAGATGGCTGCTCACAGGCTTTTAAGACCCCAGATGCTACTCATCAAAGTAAATTCTAGAACATTTTCTTTATAAACTATGTTATGCCAATTGAGCTAGATGTTCCCTGAGACCATGGTCCCCACAGCCCTCAGTCCAGCAATTCGTTCCCTCAGGGTTGACACATTTTTGTTGGGCACAATTCAGTCCATAATAGCCCTCTTCCAGGGAACTGAGATGCATTTATTTCTTTAGATGCAGGTAAAGGAGCCCCTTAAAGGCCACCCAAAGCTTGAGCCAGAGCCTGGGTGACCACTGGAAGGCTTAAGCCAAGGTGCAAGATGCAGCATGCGGAGGTTAATGTTTAGAGCGGGCACACAGGCAAAGACCTCTTTGTTCAGTATCAATCACTATCTACCTTGTCATCTAAAAGGTGGATGCTTGTTGTGGGTTGAGTGGTCTCCTCCAGAAAGATATGTGAAAGTCCTAACCCCTGTACTGTGAATGGGACCTTGTCTGGGAATAGAGTTTCCCTTTTGTTATATTAATGAGTCATGCTGAACAGGGTGGGTCCTAAACCTAATCCCTTGAATGGTGTCTTATAAAAAAGGAAAACAGCCTTGGAGAGTCACACACACGGGAAGATGCCACATGAGGATCCATCTACAAGTCGAGGAGTACCTGGAGCTGCCAGAAGCTGGAAGAGACAAGGAGGGACCCTTCCCTAGAGTCGACACCCTGAATTCAGACTCCCAGCCTCTATAACTGTGAGACAGTAAATTCCTGTTCTTTAAAGCCACCCACTTTGTGCTGTTTTTGTTATAGCAGCCCTAAGCCACTTAAGACAATGTTTTTTTTCGCTTGTTTTTTTCCCCATGAAGCCATGACTTCCCTCATTTAACAAGCGGGGAAATTGAGGCAAGGGTTGCATTAGAATCTGAGTCCGAATCCCAATTGGCATCTTTTTTTTTTGTTTCCTGTGGTCCCTGTACCTAACAATGGCAAGAGCTCCTGTTGCCAAAACTCCAGGTTCTGCTTGGTGTAACTCCATCAGGGCCAAAAAGGCAGAGATCGAGTTGGGAGAATGAAAGGCAGCTTTATTGGTTGGCCAAGCAAGGAGACAGACGGGGCTGCGTGCCATCCAAGAGTGCCTCCCAGGCAGCTTGTTGAGGCTGGTTTATATAGGCAGGATCAGTTTCAGAATACAAAAAGGCACGCACGCAGGCACAGAGCATTTTACAATGAGTAAGCATTTTCTAAGGCCCAGGTTCAATTCCCTGCGCAGGAGGAACTTAGTCATTTTTGTTTATTGGCATGTCAGCTCTCCACCCAGGGGCGGAGAATTTACCATGCAGGAAGCAGTTAATGAGCTAAAGGTCACCTGGAACGCCAGGATGGAGGGCAGGACCTGTTTCAGCCGATTCTGGTTAGCCGATGTCTGTTTCTCTTTAAGGAGATTCTGAGGAGGAGAAGAAAGAACTCTAGGCAATGGGCTGGGTGAGGGGCGGTCTTGCGACTAAGAAAAATGGCTCTGTGGCTCTAGCCCTGTCTCACTCCTACCACAGAGGGCTGGCTGTGACCAGGCCCTGCGTGCAGCCCCTCATCCTCAAGCGCTCCTTACCTGCGCTCCCAGTTGAGGAAACCGAAGCGCAGGACGGTTGCACAGCTGGATTCGAACCCAGCCATTGGCCGCGTGTTGATTCTCACTCACGGGCCCTGGTTTCTTGAAGCTGCGCCTCGGCTTGAAGGAACTGACGATCCTCACCCTCAATGCCCATCGTGGACTGAGTGTGTCCCCAGAAAAGATACGTTGGAATCTTGACTGCTGTACAGCTGTACACGTGGATGTGATCCCGTTTCGGAATAGGGTTTTGCTTGTTATGTTAATGAGGTCCTGTCGGTGTAGGGTGTGTCCTAACCCTAATCATTGCTGAGTTGTGAGGAGCAGCACAGCCACAGAGAGGGAAACACAAATGGTGGGAAAACAGACACCGCCTGGAGGAACGTGGGGCTACAGAAGCTAAAATAGGACCTTCCCTCCGAGCCAACAGAGAGCCTTCACTCAGAGCCAGTGCCCTGAATTTGGACTTGTAGCCACCTGAACTGTGAGAAAGTAAACTTCTGCTCTTTAAAGCCACCAGCTTGTGGTTTTTCTGTTACAGCAGCCCTAGGAAACAAAGGCCACGCCAAAGACAGCTCTACCGCAGCTTTCCATCTGGCTCTGACCCCGTGACCTCGCTCTGACCCCGTGACCTCTGTTTCGGTGCCTCCTTAGAGCCCGGCGCAGCGGCAGTGACTGCGCCGTCTAGCTTAACCCTTAACAAGCAGGTAATGAAAACATTGAGGCTCAGAAGGGCCAGGTGAGCAGCTCAGAGTCCCTCAAGTGATGAGTGGCAGCCCGGGCTTTGGACCCGGCAAGGCCTGTGTCATCTGCCTGGCCCCACGGCCACCTGCCTAAAGACATCTATTTA